TTTTTTTTTTTTTTTTTTTTGGTTAAGTGTAAGAATCTATTTTATGTTAAAAATAGAAAGAATTACAGCCCATGTCACTTGGCCTAATAGCCCAACCGAAAATGGCCCACATTTAAAGCTCTTACCCTATATAGCCCATGTTGTACATAACTTGAAAGAAACTTTTCAGCCTTTAGCCCACTATTAAAGACATACTTTTAGGGTTTTTATTATTTTCTTCTTTCTTCATTCCCTTCTCTCTCGCACCTCCTCTCACTTCTTTCTCTCTAACCCACATAGATCCCTCATCCTCTCTTAACCTAGCCGCCGCTATTCCCCTCCTTTACCCCCTACGCAGTTCTGCCATTAATGGCTCGAAGAAGGCTCGAAGAAAGACTCCGTCGTCCATGGTGGCAAGCAGAAGAACGAAGAAGATTTTTGAAAGAAACATGAAAATACACACAGATCTGAAAATAAATAGCTCTCAAACTTGATTTGCACCAACAAACAACCACTAATTTTGGAGGATTTTGAAGTTTGAAGTTCTGGTAATTTTGGAAGATTCTGAAGTTCGAAGTTTGAAGTTCTGGAAAATCATAACTATGTAGCAGGTTGTATCGACACTGTATAATAGTGTATAATTGTGTATATGGGTATACAGACACCTCTTATACACTATTATACATATTTATACAAGTTATACATTATTGTATAATTGTGTATAAATATGTATATTTGTGTATAATGTTGTATAAATATATATTTTTTCAGTTTATAAGGATGTATATACATTGTTAGCGTGTAAGAGGTCTCTACAGAAGTTTGACACTTCCTTCTCTTCTTCTTTTTCGTGTATGTGCTATATGAAACAGATTTGTACGCGTTGGAGGAATTCTACAATTCATTTATCAATTTTTTATTTTTCTTTTATCCTGTTGGATTGCTTCAGCAATTGCACATAAAGGTGTTTGAATTTCTTACCTTCAGATAATATGTTGATTGTGTGAAATCAGCTGTTTTTTCGGGAATTAGCCTATTATTTTTGGGCTATGGATTTGCAATGTGATATCTAGGCTATTATGTTGCAAGTCAGGTGTGTGAGTTGTACTTATGTGAAATTATCCCTTAAAAATAATCTATTTTTGATTGAGTCCTTAAATTATTCATCACTAAGTTCAATTATCATCAATATTTCTTGGTAAATGATAGATTTCTCAACGGGCAATTGATTTGATAGTGTTACGTTGAAAATGTAGTCGCCGGAATATGTGTTTGGTAGCGTATGTCTTATATTTAAGGAAAAATCGACAAATAACCGAAAAAACCAACAAACCGACAAAAATCGACATAAACCGAATCGAGAAAAAACCAACTTAATTGATTTGGTTTGGTTCTAATATTCGAAAAACTGACTTACTTGGTTTGATTTCTTTTTAGAAAAAACCGATCCAAATCGACCAACATCCCCGAGTACTGCTACCTTTTGCCCATGAAAAGATATTTCTTTATTTTTGTCTTTGACGATAAGATTCTTTCACTGTATCATGGTAATTTAATTAAGTTCTTTTTATGTGCATGGAGTACTCCTCTTTTTTCACCTATTATGTGAAACCATTTAATTGACTATGAAGTATAAAATAGTAATTTAATTTACATATTTAATAAATCATTATATCATCATATTATATACTATACTATCTATATCTATCTATCTATCTATCTATATCTATATTATTATAAAAGCACGAATGGTTTAGGCTAAATATTAAATGACTAAAATATCCTCAAAACGTTGATCGACTTTAATAACCTTAAATATTTATATAATTTAAGGATATAATTGTAAATCACCAAAGGCTAGAATTCTAATCTTATTTAAAATATACGTACGCCCAGCAAAAAAAAAAGGTTGCAGGTGTCCAAACTAACTTTGGATTCATCCTCCCGCACTCCAATATTTTATAATAATATAACATACAAACCAAAAAAGAAAAACACAATAATATGATATACAAACCAAAAGAAAATACCAAGTCGGTAGAGTTTTTATAAAAAGGCCTTTATGTTTTAGATTCGAGTGAATAAAGGTATTATATATAACTCCTCCACTGGTAAATTAATTTGAAGTTCTGATCAGTATTCCAAAGCAGATATTGACTTTTATAATATTTTGCCAGCCTTTTTCTAAATTATGTATTTCACATATTTCATGTTGATAAGTTACCGGAGAATCATCATGTTACGGTAAAATTTCTATTCACGATTGTTACATTCTATTAATTCAATATGGTCTACTTTTGAGGTATGCATTCTGGATAAAAATTTATATTTTATTGTGTTGCAAGGATGACTATGTTAATTTATAGTCCATAAAGCGATATTTTCTTTTAATCACTTACTACAGAGATTAATGAAAAATGCACTTAAAGTTTCAATTCGAGAATCGTAACTCCTAGAGTGTTCTTGCAAATTATTTTTATTATTATTGGATAAGGAATGATTTGATCAATTACTTTCATATGTCGGTATATATTAGTTTCATATAGATCACGTCCGTAAAATTTTGGTAGATTATGCACTTATACTTATTTAGTGGCACTATTTAAATACCCACCTTTTAGTCTAGGAGTCTTTAAACCGAATAATTTATGCTAAATGTTGAGCGACTAAAATATCCCTGAAACATTGACCGACTTTTATACCCTCAATTATTTATATAATTTAAGGATCTAATTGTAAATTACCTAATGATAAAATTATTTTTCGATTTAAAATATTCATATATATGCCCGACCCTACAACTTTGATCCTACTTGAATTAGAAAAGTACGTACATACTTTTCTTATTCCTAATATAATTCGTTTATAATAAGGTACGTACTAAAAGAAAGGCACGTATTAAAAGACTACGTTCTAAAAACATCTGTAACCTTTTAAACAAAGATGAAAACTCTTTCTATCATTTAAAGACTTAATTTGTAATAAGTTCATATAGAGCTAAAACTATATTAAGTTAGTATCTTTTACCTAAGTATTAGGAGTTACTACATATTTCAAATAAATTGGATTAATATTTAAAATATTAAATAATAAGAAAATAATTAAATGATAATTTTTTAAAATATAAAATCTAATTTTTGAAGGATTAAAAAAATAGGGGCAAATTTATATAAATATTTTGTTTTACATGATAATAAAGTGGTTCTAATAATACATATGAGATTATGCTTTTTAAATTTATTTATTTATTTATTTTTACTTCAGTATGAGTAATTGATTCCTTTACAAATTTCTCAAAAAATTGATTGATGTTAGATTAGGTTTCCTAGAGAAAGTTCATCCAAATTGTAGACATCGAAATTTTAATGGATCAAGCTAAATCCTAAATTCAAGATACTACAAGACCTCTTGAAACTCTAGGAGTCTGTCAGTGTTGCTTGGAGGCTACTCTACCAAAACCCTAGGTCACTCCTATAAAAAGGGTTTCATAATCCTTTAAAAAACATCTCAAAAATGGAGATCATCTCGAAAATCCCATAAACTCACGGGATATTCACAAAGAGATCAAGAAGTGGCCGGATAATTCTTGATAATCAAATTCTTCAAGAAGATCCACGACATACTTTCTAGTAGTATACTAACTAAAATAACTACTACGAAAAGCC